ACTCTTAACCAACAACATATTTATTTGTTTATTTGAATAAAGATTAATATTATTATGTTGATACAACTTAAACAAATTATTTCGACCAAATTAGGTACCATAAAAACGGTTTTTGTGAGTTAATCTTAAAAGATAGACATATACTGTCGCGAACTGTTTTTAGATCATTAAAAGAGCTATTATTCTTTAATTTTTTGTGTATCTTGAACCGTTTTCATGACGCACGCAACGAAAGGCTTCAAAGATGAAATAATTTCTCCCGTTTTTTACACATTTACCACTATATCTTTGCTCCTATTGGTTGTAGCGTAATGTTATTTAGCTCACAGCTTTCCTCGATAACTGGACTATCCAACACAAAAAGAATTATTCAATTCGAACCAGTAGTTTCGGAGATTAGCGCTTTCAAACAAACAAACAAACTCTTCAGCTTTATAATATTAGTATAGACGAAATGCGATGCAGAGAAGAGAAAATGCAATTTTTGTAATTATGAAACATTATTATACATTAAAGTTAATATATTTCATAATTGTAGCACTAGGTATTATAAGATGAAACAATCACAATCACAGATTCGTCCTACTCATTCGTAATAAAAGCCGAATTGATTTTTATCTCCTAACGTATCTAAAAAAAAGGTATGCACGTTGTTACAAGGTATATTTTTAAATACAATCCAATCAAAATATGAATTATATTTTTACATACCACGTTATGGATTAAAGACGGTAATATTTAGACTATGATAAATACCATATTACCATTGGTTGCTTCCGTCTCGCATATCGACTTATTCTAAATTGTAACAGTATTTGCCGCGGGCAAGCGGCGTCGAATCCTTTGAGTGTAGCCATACATCACCGTTCCTAAGTAGACAGTATATCAACCGTATGCCAAGTAATTAGCCCTCTAGCGACAGAATTCAGGGATTTATTGTAGGGCGTTAATGTAGCCGACAGCCATGCCTTTGTTCCCCAATTCAATTCCAGTGCTTTAAATTAACGTTTTGCTCCCCATTTGGAATAGGGTGGATAAGATTCTATGCATCGTGGCATATTGGTAAGGATTTTTAAAGAAGATTTATCTGATCCTTGATTGCAGTTCCCTGCTTTGTATGAACCTAAAATTGAAGTTTGATTTAGTTTTAAACGTTTAGCTCCAGAAAAGCTTTACTATCTGTTTCTTTGGTAAAACAAATTTTTCATTATGTATTTAAATGCATAGTAATATTATGCAAATAAGAATTTCATATAAATATTCTTTTTATTACAAGATACCAAACTCTATTTATTGTATTTGTGAATTACATTGTTAAAATAAAGAAAAGCGGTCGTTGATCTTGAAACGACATTTTATTTTGTAAATTAATTAATTTTTATAGCGTTACCATGGAAAAAGCTATGTTCAAAAATTATGTTTTCACTAAAGATTTCTCACTTTAAAGTATGTATTATCTGTATGATAAATTTTGTGACAAAAGAGGTTTGATGTCACAAAAAGACCGGTAATCAGTAGCTACCGCAATCCGTCAATTAATTTACTTTTGAGATATGAAAGGCGACAAAGGGACGGCCGACGAGAAAATGCTACTACTATTTTGCTATACCTATTAAATAAATAAAAACCAGTTCTAATACTGATACATAAGGCTCAATTTGTATCGGTGTGCATAGTAAATATGCATTGCTACTGTAGGCGACAGTCAGTGATAAGGTGGAGTGGAGGAACGTCGTTAAACATCATTAGTGAGATAAACTTCCTAAAAGCCTCACTGAAACAGAGAAAGGCAAGATATATTCTTGATTAATGTCAAGGAATAATTCGATAAACATCGAAGTATCGACAGATTTCCAGGTTTTGATTTAATCGATTATTATTGAATGAAGGTTTAAATGATTACTGCTGTTAAATCTGGAGTTGTTTCTCACAGTATCCAGTAGAATTATGTCGTGTTAGTAAAAAACAGAAACAATTTTTACTGCAAATATGTAACACTGGTGTTTATATAAGTAAATGATTTCAATTTACCTTATAACATTAATACACGTGCAAATATAATGTAACTAAATGAGAGACAAAATTCACGAACACTTGAAATAGTGTATAAAGTTGTATTTTTGAAGTAATAAATTGATAAATTTGTTTAAAAGGTATTGCAGAATTGTTAATGGATATTTTGATTAATTACAAAACTTGTTCATCACATACAGTTTTTTTTACTATCGCAAAAATAGTCTAAGCAAATAATATTTAAATTTTCTATCAATACATTCAATTAGGCCGTTGAAAACTTTTTCGATGGCAAAATTGTCATACCCTTTTGTCATAAATCATTGTAATTTAGCGACTAGACAACCTCGCAGAGAATCTAAAAAAATATAATACCTCACACGAAACCAATCATCTAGCCATTATTATATGACAATTCATATGGGTTTTAATTTATTATCTATGTGGGTGGATATACTGGTATTATTTTTTTTATTTTTCTAATAAATTACTGTAATTTCATCTTATTTTTATTAAGTCATAGCCGTTTTATGATTTTGGGTTCGCATAATATTAAAATGCCATAAAAATTACATATAATGTTACAGAGTCATTGCGATATACTTATTAATCATCTTAATAATAAGGTATTGGTAAGATAATATATGTTTTGTATTAAGGATTACCTATATATTTGTAATATTTTAGGGTAAATAACGTCATATTTATTGTTTTTCATTATAGTTCTAACTTTAGCACTATATTTCGAAATTATGAAAACATATTTGGAGATACTCAGTTTCTATTTTCGGATCTCTTTTTTTCATTCGTTTTTCAGTCTTAAACATATATCCTCTCATCAAAATTAAAAGAAAGACAAATTTATATATTTCAAAATAAACATATTATGACGTTGCTATTAGTTTGTGGTTGTAAAATATTGTTTTGATAAAAAATGACAGTGTTTGATAATAAGCGTGGGTTGGATAACAAAAGACCTATTGGTTAGCACAATGCGGGCTTCTGATTCGGGTTCAAAATTAACTTTTCTAGCTATTGTCTGTTTTTTTAGATATCACACTTCCTGGATATTTGTTTGAACAAATTGACAGTAATAACTCCCTTCGTTATCGATACATTTACATTAATTATGTTTATTTACAGTAGTGATGTTAAAGTTTTGAATTTTTTTAATTATTAACGTATTATTCAGTTTTTTGTTCTTTTTAATTAAATTGATTTCAAACAATTGATATGAAAAAAAATGTTAATCTTACATATTTTTTTTTATATTATTAATTTTGTCTCGGCCTGGCTTTAACATTAGGTGACATTAAGATGTTACCTAATGTTAAAGCCAAAGATATAACTTTATATGGAGCATCCGATATGTATTTTTAAAAAACACAATCTTGTTTTGAATATTAAATATGTTAAAAAGTTATATCTTTCCATAAACCGATTTTATTTTGTCTCATATAAAATCAAATACACACTTTAGTTTAATAAGTGTAACCTATTTAGAAGCTATATTTTCATGTAACTATTTGTCCAAAACAAGTACACAGATTGTTCAAGCAACATTATCGGGTGCTAAACTTATAATCAAATGTAATTTAGTGTGAAGTTATCGCTTTGTGCTATCAATAATATAATTCATCTCGTTAGCAGTATGGTAATAAAATGTCAATAAAAGTGAGTATAATCACTGCTCTAGAAAATGTCAAACATTATGAGTAACTTGAGGCATTTTAAAGTATTAGGCCCAGTTAATGTTGAAACGGGACGCTAATCTTCTTAGTATAAATTAATTTGATATATAGATTTTATTCTTATATAATAATAATAGAATAGGTATGTGTATAAACAGCTCTTATATAAGCTTGGTCAGTAAAATTCTATCAGATATTTTTTTAAGACTTTGTTAGCATAAGAACTAAGTGTATTTTGTTATTAAAAACTAATACATACATATATAGAAACTGTTTAAATAGCAATTGTTTTTTTATTTTTATATTTAAACTTAAATTCAAATAGCTTTTTAGCAACCGTGATTACTAGAAGACGGGATTTAGGATTGAAATATTAAAAATAAATAGTATTACTAAAAACCTTTTTGTTACTAAACTAAATGGAATACTAACGCCAATTCAACTGTCTTATAATATTTAACTTTGTATGAAATTATGTCTTGATTTTGTTCATTATAAAAACTTTTGTTCTTAATTAAAGAGCCGTATTCAGCTAAAATAAAAAATTATTATTTAGAAAAATGTTTCTTTATCAATTTTTTCTTTAATGAGATCATTGGCCTATGTTTTGGCAAATCATATTTGCAAAAAAAATTCTTTATTTTTTTAGGAAATTAAGCAAAATTATATTTTTTATACAGCTTTTGATTTCAAAAAGATTTCTGTTATATTATATATATTGATATAGGAAAAAGGACAAAAAACTTTCATTTATTTTATTTTTTTTATAAATTAAACTTTAATATTACGAAATATTTATTTATACTCCTAAATAAAATTACTGAAATTATGTAGTTAGTCTTGTGTTTATTGTTTTTCGAGGGATTTATTAAAAGAAATATATAAACTTTTCTCGATTGTTCAATAAATATTGTTTATTCGTAACTTATATCTATATTTACAATATGCGGTAGGCTCATTATTAAAGCCTCAGTTCACTTAAAACTAAACTTAAAATATTATGCAATAACTTGGGGGTCTGATTCTTGTCATCCATGTCTTTCTTCGTTAAGGCACTATAATTTGACTAGATATATTAAAGAGTCTCTTTCTCATCACTACATAAAAATAACTCGGAGGGTTCTTAAAACGTGTTTCGGTGCATCAGTACCTGTAGATAAAAATAAATTCCATCAGCAAATTATTTATACATTATGTACTTATTCGATAACAATAATATTGTATTCAAGGAAAGTTTCTTGAGATATACTCAAAGAGTTATGCTTAAGTTTAATAAAGACAATACTTACGTTATTGCTATTTTTGTTGCCACCATGAAATTACATCAAGAAGTTCATCCTCATCCATTGGGCCCAAAGTTTGTTGTGTTGATACCTCGTACCTATCCACATTGGAATACGCTGATGAAACACCAGATGAACATTCTGAAGGTGCTGGGGAAACTGCCTTTTCAGAACAAGGTGATCCACTTTCGTAAAAAAAGCCATCGTCCATATCCGTCACAGTTATAGTTTGATTACCACTTGGTATATTTTCTCTATTTTCCTGGTCGCGTGTAATGCCCAAAGCAGCATCGCTTTCATCAAGCAATTGCTGTAAATATCTTATATATTCTACGACCATTCTCAATGTGTCTACTTTACTCAGTTTCTTGCCTGAACCTCGTCTGGCTCCACCTGATAATGCCGCTACCACTGATGCCGGAAGATGTCGACGCAGTGCATTAAATCCATCATTAACTTGTTTGACACGATTACGTTCTCTAGCATTGCGTCTGGCTATTGAAACAGCTTGAGGGCCTGTGTATGGATTTGTCCTGAAGTGCACTTTTTTTCTGTACTGCAGGTTTGGAGGAGTATCGTGTGTGACATAATTTTTTTCAACAGCTGTAGAAATCGGTAGAATCCTTTTTTCCGTATTTTTAGTGACAGTAGATGTAGGATAGCCTGAAGAAATGACCATATAGTTGGTCTGACCTTGAACGAGTTGTATTTCTTGTAACATTTTATATCTTTACGACGAAGCGATAAATACACTGGTAGTCTACGCGACGATCGGAAAAGCACTGGATGACGCGTAAAGGCTTACTGAGAGCTTTGTGAATGAGTGCGGGCGTTAGCGTCGGAGCTTCACGCACAAGTGAGCCGGCGGCGCACGCGCACGCGTTATATCACCTGCGCCGGCTGCAAAAAACATAAATTTTAAAATTCTCTTCCCCTATTATTTTCCACCATCCCTTCCCTTTTGTACGGGTCCGTACCTGACGAGGTGCATGGGGAGCGAACGTAACGCGTGCCCAGTTTTTTTTATCTGATGACCACTAAACATTATAAAAAAATACTTTTAATCAAATATTAGTCAAATACAACTTAAAAAAAAACACTTTGTTTAATGTTAATATTATATATAAAATCTTGTAATTGAAAACGACACATTAACGTTTACATCAGCTATATTTGAAACATTCAAAAGAAAAAAATTCTTAAAAAACTTTATCGATATTAAAATATCTTAATACGCTCTTACTTAAACGTACAGCCATTGAAAAAAAATATTATTTGTGGCAGATAAATCTCGTATGGATTTAATCAGAGATTTATCTCAATAAAACTTTGTCGGTTTTGTTGAAATATTTAAGATCTTAAATATTTCACTTTGCCTACAAAGGAATTATTTGCCGATGCCTGCTATTTAGCCCGCATGTTGTTTTAGTTGGATGCTATTAAACTAGCATTGTACTTAGCCACAATATCTCAGAAGCAAATTGCTGGCAGTCAATATATGCAGACTGTGAGAGTTAGTGCAGATTATAGGCAATGAATTAAAAGTATTTTCACAACAAAAAGGTTAATAAAACTAACCTACAATTATAGATACAATACGATTCTCTGCGGTTTGTTTGCTAGGCACTTTTAGTATCAAAGACTTGGTCTACACAGACAACGAAAGGGTAACTTCATTGCAGCACGTTGCGCAAATAATTATACATTCAATTCCTAATGGATTGAATTGGGAAGAGAAAAATGAAAGGGAAACAAGGCGAATAATTTAAGAATTCCAAAACAGATATGATATACGTTTTGAGATGTTTCATATCAAAAAAGGCTTGCAAGCATTAAAAAAATTTACTATTGGATATTACAAGCACTTTACACTTCTCGCTAGTTATAATATCTTAAAGCCATTTCTTCCACCAGTTAAATGGTGTAATTTTAAAATTTGAACAGATCCCCAGTTCATATTCTAAATTGTTAAAAGCATTGCATTAGAATGTTTAAAGCAAAGACTTTTGATATAAAGTTTCATTATAAAATTGGCTAAATATACATAGAAAATGTTGCAGATCTTGCCTGTATATTAATACATAAAAGAATGCTTCGTTCGTGATAAGTACTGCTACACGAAGTTATAAAAACATTTTGCAAACTTTACTTTGATATAAAAATGACTATTTACATACAAAGTATTAAGATTACTTTTATTTTTCCCGCTTAACGAGTGTTCATAAAATGCCGATGATTTTACTTTAAGATAAAGGGTTTTTAATTAGTGTTATTTTTACTTAAAACATTGTCATGATCAGGTCGATTTGATTTTTATAATAATATGTTTCAATTTGTATTTTTTTCTTTTTTTTTTATAACTAATAAGTTCCATAAAAAATTAAGAAAAATAACATTATTTAAACAATAGACAAGTGTTTTTTAGACTTTACTATTTATAGTGTTTTTAATCAAGACTTAATAATTTTTTTTATCATGCATTTCAATAACACATATTTATTAAGATTTAAATAATGCAGTTAATAAAATAGTACATTATATACGTATAGATGTAATAATATTTGCAGATGACTTTGTCTGCCTCGAGTTTGAATTCGATTTGAAGGCAAATAACCTATGTTCGTTTTAAGTAGTAGTTTCTGTTAACCAACCGGCAGCTGTATCGGGGGTCCGCCTTAAGTGACTTCATAAAATATAACTTTTATGGTTTTTTATTGTTGTGGAAAAAATTTTATTTTCGGGAAAATTTACGTAATTTTTTTCATTTTAGAGTATTATCCATATTACTGTAAAGTTGTATTAAAATTCTGGTGTATTTTTTTACGTGGAAGTGTAACAAATCTTCAAACTTCATTCATACATTTTTTCAAACATTCGTATTTCCAATATTAGTAGATACTTTTTACTGGATAAAAATTTATTGATTACTAATTTTAACATCTTGAGTAATAAATAGAGACAAAAAAAACATCAAAGTGACAGATTGTAACGAACTATTATGTATATAAAAACAGCAAAAAACTAAACTCTGATGTATGATGGAACTAACCTGAAATATTCATATTATTCTTAAAATTTGTTATTAACAAGGAAAGAAACATACATTATTTGCGATACGTTCAACTGTCGTTAGGTGTTTGAGATAGTCTGGTCCGTCTAGACGGATAACAAGATATTAATACTATTATAGAGTTTTAGCCTTGACTAGCGGAACCTTAAAAAGCAAGTGACATATTTTTGTATTGCTGAAAAAAATATCAAAGTTTTAAAATGTATTAGTTAGCTCATTAATTTAAGATTTAATCCAAAATGTTTACAAATGTATGAAAGAAAGATCATAAATTGTTCCCTTTTCCATGGAAGTAACGGTGGTATATCAAATTGTCACATAATTTTGATGAACCCCTCGCTGTTTCAAATCAAACATGTCATAACAATTTATAAGCATTTCACCTCCCGTTAACTAATTAAGATAAAACAAAAAAATACAACCATGTAAGTAGGTAAATTGCTAAAAAAAGTTATATAATAGTTAAATATTTGTAAGCAATTGTATTTAAAATTTGATAATAAATATAAAACACTTTCATGAGTATGTAAATTTTAAATTATCCTAAGATGTCTTATTTAAGTTTGTAATGAAATTACCTTGCGTGATGATATTCTAATTTTCATCCCTTATATATAAGATATTGGCAATAGGCAAGGAAAAATATTCATATTTATGTGTTTTTATTTTCACTGACATTAAGTAACAACGATGCATCACAATAAATTATACACAAGAGGGTTATAATTAAAGTTACATTTCGAACAAATTATTATCATTGATAAAACAATTATCCGGTACAAATAAACAATTATATGAACAAATTACGGAGATGTAACGTGGGATTCGAGGGATGGTTCTGATGTGAATGGCGTCATCTGTAACGTCACGCTTCACTGGTGTGGGATCCAAAACAAATAGTCACATTTTAATGTTGTCAAATGTTTGACACATTAAAATATACTACGGAAAAGAACGCAGTAGAACATATCTTCTATATATATAAAAATGGATTGCTGTTCCTTAGTCTCGCTAAAACTCGAGAACAGCTGAACGGATTTGTCTTATCTTAGTCTTGAAATGTTCGTGGAGGTTCAGGGAAGGTATAAAAGGTGAGAAAAATTGGAATAATTGCCGGGAAAACCCTAAAAACAGCCCTTTTCTATTTTCCATACAAACGCTTTTTTTGACATTAGATTTGACAACTAACTAATATGTCAATCATTCTGTTTGATTGAAATAGGAAAAACCTGATTATTTATGGCCTCTAAGACGGAATAGAGTTCGCCTGGTCAGCTATACATATATTACTAATGACGAAACTAACGCGGACGAAGTCGCGGGCAAAAACTAGTACTATATAAAACCGTAACATGTCCATCATAATAGATGTTATGTATTTGGGAATTAAGTATGATCAATCGGTAGCTTGCGGCTGGATTTTATCAAAGACTACATTAATTTCATATTTAAGAATATACTATTAATCACATGCGAAAGATGCCGATCTGAATGGACTACCTGATCCAATATACTTTGATTAACGACTTGTTGAGCGTCTTCCATTCATCGCGACATCAAAGGGTGATGGTTATAATGGGGAGGTGTTGTATCTTACCACATTGTTGAAGATTAGCTTAGTTAAACAAGCTTGATGAGTTGCACTTTAATTATATAGAATCCAGACATTCTTTATAGTCCTTGAAATTTATATCAATTACAAATGTATTTTTTTTTTTGTCTGATGGTTGTACGTTCATATACAATTAATTATTTCTTTGTATTTTATAAATTTTATATGAATTAACATTTTCCATATAAACAGAGTTTAGATTTTGAATATCAAACGTTTCTCACGATCGCATTCAGTATCCGAAATGCAAATGAACATGTCACGCACCTTGTAGAACAAGAGACTATCTGTGGTTGCCATCAACTGGCGGTACTGTTGGCAAGTGACAATGACGGGAACCTGGATGGGACTCTTGTCAGCTGACACTGATAGAGGGCCAGTGAATTTTTGAAACGCCTTAGATATATGTTTAATTTGACTTTTGACTTTACTTCTTAAATCTTCTAACGTAAAATCTTTTCTAAATTTGTGGTATTGTTTGCTCTTTATTTTTATGATTGTATTTCTTAAATTTATGGATTTTCTAAAAACAAAATAAGAATTATTCCTTACTTTTAGGCTTTTCTTAAAGTCGTTATCCATTCATAAATAAGGCTAATTAGAAAATTGATAAACCTGCCCAAGGAAACAATTTTATTGTTTTACAATAGCTCGTTAGGCTTAAATAGATCATTAGCCATGTCTTTTTTAATTGTCACAATTTTTTTACGTCACAATAAGACAGGTGAAAAAACTGGGAACATAAATAAAAAGTCAAACCCTGATTGCCAATAAACAAACTCGATATTTTGTGTCATATAATATGCAGGCAATAAAGTACAGTCACCTTCATATTAAACTGGTTAAATATCATTGAAATAAAACAACGTTATTGTTTGTTTTATAACTTGCGAGCAAAACTAAATTGTTCTCAAAGAGAATAAAAATCAATTACAGTAATTAATAAGTATCTGGTTATAAATTTCAATAATAATTAAATATGTCTAATAGTTTATAAATTGAAGCTTCAAAAAGGATAGATAAATTATTAAACAATCTA